CGTCCATCCCTCATTTATCCAACAATGAGTCTCCTTTGTCCAACAATGTTCCAGACCAAAGAGATTTAAAATTCCTCTAACTGACTAGAAGGTGAACGTTTTAAGGAATTGATTTTCACTATTTCCCCTATTGGATCCTGCCCAGGGGGAGGGGGCACCCTACCCTGCGCTTATACGATATCTGTTTCACTTGACACAGTAACGCAGCAGACCACATATATATAATACATCCATTTATCTATTTTCTACTAGTGGCGCTTTAAAGGACAAACAGTACCGACGCTGCGCCACGGTATTAGTGCACAGGCCCTTCGGACCAGGTGAGCTAAAAATAATGGTCAGATACGTGTATTTACAATGATGGCAGACAGATTTGATGTTGGATGGTAATTATAAGCTGCATGTGATGCAGGGAAAGGAAACACAGTTTCCACATTACCAGTCAGCATGCTTCCATCTAAATCATAGAAACATCTGCAGAAAAAAATAGCATGAAAATCAATATTAGCATTTCAGATCACCAAATTTTTCCTGCAGTAAGCCCAGGTGGCAAATTATAAATATTTGCTTACTAACAATTTTACTTTGTTACTGGCTCTAACATATTCGATGGAATATACAACGCATTTTTTTTTTTTAAATTCAAATTTTTATAATTCAACATAGCTATCAAGACATTGCATTTGAGTCATAGATCAAAATATTTAAACGAGCAAAAAGGTCCAACAATATAACTTTTATCAATGGTGTTTATAAGTAACCCTCAGATCTTGCAAATTAAGACTTATTATTTCAGGTGGATTTTTCATTTGCAACGTGTGGGCATAATTACCTTTGCCCTACTTATAAAAAGACTGCCAAAGAAACATACATATGTATATCAGGGGGGAGGGGTGCAGTACTGTCAAGCTTTTGTACCACAAAACAGAGCAATTACGAAAAATGTTATAAAATAATGAAGAAAGTAACCCCCCTCCCCACACACACACTCTATTTTTAGTCATACACAATATATCCAAATTGCAGAAAATTTAAAAAAAAAAGTTTTATCAAAAGGTTTTGGGAGCCCTCCTCCTCTTTATCCCCTAAATCTCGGAATGGTCTCCAAGTTGGCCTGAATTTCATGTCTGACATATCATGACGGCATAACCCGAAGGGTTGTTTCTTTTTCTGTTTTTTATAAAACATGTATTTCGATGTATTGTCAAACAAAATTTGAATAAAACAAAGTTTAAGCCAATCCGAAGGTATGCATATATGCAAAAAAATAAAACTCATCGATGATAGCAACGAGAAGACCCAAATCGGCACCATTTCCTTTGGTATTTTCGGCTATATTGAAAAAAAGAAATCCAAGATTGCAAATGACACAGCTTGACTGATGGGTGTACCAAGTTTCATAGAGATATTTGAAATGTTTTTTCAAGCTGTGGTTGGGAAAAACTTGGAATCTGTCTTTTTGTATTGAGCGTATTTGTTTCCATGGTAAAATGAAATAAACTGTATGTTGAAATTTAGATATCCTTCATAGCAAAAGACACAACCAGGGTTCTAACCGTAAATATATATCACACAGAAATTTTGTGATGAATTATTGCTTATTTATGAAAAACCTTTAATCTTACTATCTTTTATTAAAATTATGTTCATATCTAGCAATTCAAGTGTGACTTAATACAAAACACGTTTATATGATTTGGCTATATACATGTGGCATTATTCTTAATTGTAATCACTATATATCCTTTGTGACATTTGAGATAAGACTCATGTGTGAAGTTTTTATACCCCTAAGTACGTTCTCTCCGTAAACTTACTTTCATAACTCATTACTATTGTCCATCATATTACACAACAGGAGTAGAACTTACAAGTATGAGCCTGTCACTAGCGATTATGTAAAATCTGTACATCTCAAATGTAAAAGATTTCTTTTATTTAACTTTAGATGTGGCTTTTTGCCCCTTGAAATTGAAAAAGGTAGGCATGCCCGCCCTGTGATTCCTGTCAATAATAGGTTATGTAAATTGTGCAACAATGATGTAGAAAACGAGTATAATTTTTTAATGGAATGTATATTTTATGATGAGCTTAGATCTGTTATTTTAACGAAAGCAAACAATGTATATGAATTTTTCAAAGATATGAACAAATTTGAACAGTTCAGATATGTGATGTGTGGACCAGTTCTCCAAAAGACACTAGCTACCCAACTTTCTCTTATGTGGAGGAGAAGAACTATGTTTCTCCCATATTAAATTATGTATAATAATTAGATGTGCAGGTATTGGGTGGGGGATATATAATTTGTCGGTGGGGATAGGCCCAACCACTCTTGTATATCTCTTACACTGATGGGGTACATGCTATTATATATATATGGAAATTATAGTCCTGCTACAAATAAAATGTTATCGAGCATAATTGTTTTTTATAGCAAGAGGCCCATGGGCCTTAACGGTCACCTGAGTCCTACAGTATATGTTTTTGTTGTTGAAATATGTACCAATTTGAGTAAAAAATTGTTAAGTATAACGTTAACTTAAGTTTGTCAGGACCATGAGCTGATCTTTCCTAGACCGATTTTCAGTAAGATCGGCCTATTAGAACTTGCTTTTAAGTTTGAAATAGGTATTTTCGAAATTGTATTTCTGATCGACCCGAAAAATAACAACACTTTGTCAGGACCATGAGTCGATCATTCCTACAAAGTTTCAGTTCAATCGGCCTAGCAGAACTTGACTTTAAGTTTGAAATAGTTTTTCAAAATGGCGGCCGTGGCGGCCATATTGGATTTCTGATCGACACGAAAAATAACAACACTTTGTCAGGACCATGAGTCGATCATTCCTACAAAGTTTCAGTTCAATCGGTCTAGCAGAACTTGACTTTAAGTTTGAAATAGTTTTTCAAAATGGTGAGCCTGAGAAACTTGTGCTCGAGGACGACATTGCAGCACTGTCATTTTCTGCCGTCGACATCGCCCACTTTGGTCTAATGAGTGGTCTACGCATGCCTTCATCAGGACTAGCATTTGTCGATGAGCATGTCGTGGCATCAGCTTCTTCAACACTAGATGCGATCAATTTACGATCCGTCACCTGGGAGCGCGTTAGAACCACCACTACCAGCGATGACAACACGCAGGCGTTAATCGCTCTGATAGAGGCCGGTATACCGGGAACCCGTCACGAGCTGCCTAGGCCACTGCAAGAATATTTCCCATTCCGCGATGACCTTCATACGGTTGATTGTGTAGTACTTTATAAAGACAGAATAGTCATTCCACCATCACTCCGGGAAGAAACCCTTGCCTCCCTGCATTCGGCACATCAAGGGGTGACATCTATGACTTCAAGAGCTAACGCGTCAATCTTCTGGCCTGGAATCACGCCTGCCATCGCCTCCCTACGCGCAACTTGTAACCACTGCAACCGTATTGCTCCATCTAACCCGAATGCACCACCGACTCCTTTGATAACTCCTGACTATCCATTCCAATGCGTGTGTGCAGATTTATTCCATTACATGGGCTGTAATTACCTAGTGGTAGTTGATCGTTATTCCAACTGGCCGGTGGTAGAGAAAGCCTCTGATGGTTCCAATGGTTTAACAGACTGTCTCCGAAGGACATTTGTTACTTTTGGTATCCCTGATGAACTAGCATCAGATGGTGGACCCGAGTTCACTTCTGCGGCCACACGTCGTTTTCTCAGGAACTGGGGCGTTCACCATAGACTGTCATCTGTAGCTTTTCCCCATAGTAACTGCCGTGCTGAAGTGGGAGTCAAAACAGTGAAGCGTCTGATCACTGGCAACACCAGTCCCAATGGCGACTTAAACACCGACGCATTCCAACGCGCTATTCTCCAGTATCGTAACACACCTGACAGAGACACAAAACTATCCCCTGCTATGTGCGTGTTCGGTCGTCCTATACGAGACTTTATTCCTATACCACCCGGTCGGTACATTCCACACAACACTTGGCTGGAGACTTTAGCAGCTCGCGAGGAGGCTTTACGGAATCGTCACATGCGAGAAAGTGAACGTTGGTCTGAACACACCAAACGCCTCTCACCTCTTGCAGTTGGAGATCATGTACGCATCCAAAATCAAGTTGGTCCTCACCCCCTTAAATGGGACAAGACTGGAATCATTACCGAAGTTCGCCAGTTTGATCAATATGTAGTTCGGGTTGACGGATCTGGCCGTGTTACCTTACGCAACAGGAAATTCCTAAGGAAGTATATCCCAGTCGTTACACCACCAGCGCGCTACACAATTGACAATCAAATTGGACTCTCCCATCGTACGACGTCTCCTGCTTCTAACGCCCCAGACACCGTCGTCGGTGAAGAGAGCAACCCTCCCCGTAAGGATACGAGTCCTCCACCATCCACACCGTTGACTACTAGAACCATACAACGTTCGCCTCGTTCATCATCTGATGTTGATCACCCTTCACCACCATTTGGTATTCGAGACATCTTCAGTCGACGTCATCTAGCGTTTGATTCTCCTGCAACCCCAGTGAGCAAAATCACCACACCCCCGGCAACGATGCCACCTATCTCGACACATACGCCACAAGCAGTAGTTCCGTCCCCTGTACCGATCCGGACTTCTGGTCGTGCCACAAAGAAACCAGCTTGGCATTCAGATTATAAAATGTCCAAATAACAATTGACTTGTTTCTACTTGGAACATTTCCTAAGTGTTATATCTGTTGTGCAACTTTTCACGGAGACTCAGTGCTTCATTTTGTTTATTTTAGGACAATTAGTCGGACATTTCTTAATAATTCTCATATTTCACATCAGTCTTTGTTCCTAGGACTAATACGAGTGACCCTATTACTTACGTGTACCAAAGACTTGGGGGAGATAGAGGATTGTATGTTATGATTAGTTTCTATACGTAATTCATGCTAATTATCATTGTGCAATTTACCACTACTTTGTGTGTCTTTTCAGACCGTGTTCATTGCTGAATAAACATATTTAAAGTAAACGGAACAGAGTCCCATTTAANACTGCAACCGTATTGCTCCATCTAACCCGAATGCACCACCGACTCCTTTGATAACTCCTGACTATCCATTCCAATGCGTGTGTGCAGATTTCTTCCACTACATGGGCTGTAATTACCTAGTGGTAGTTGATCGTTATTCCAACTGGCCGGTGGTGGAGAAAGCCTCTGATGGTTCCAATGGTTTAATAGACTGTCTCCGAAGGACATTTGTTACTTTTGGTATCCCTGATGAACTAGCATCAGATGGTGGACCCGAGTTCACTTCTGCGGCCACACGTCGTTTTCTCAGGAACTGGGGCGTTCACCATAGACTGTCATCTGTAGCTTTTCCCCATAGTAACTGCCGTGCTGAAGTGGGAGTCAAAACAGTGAAGCGTCTGATCACTGGCAACACCAGTCCCAATGGCGACTTAAACACCGACGCATTCCAACGCGCTATTCTCCAGTATCGTAACACACCTGACAGAGACACAAAACTATCCCCTGCTATGTGCGTGTTCGGTCGTCCTATACGAGACTTTATTCCTATACCACCCGGTCGGTACATTCCACACAACACTTGGCTGGAGACTTTAGCAGCTCGCGAGGAGGCTTTACGGAATCGTCACATGCGAGAAAGTGAACGTTGGTCTGAACACACCAAACGCCTCTCACCTCTTGCAGTTGGAGATCATGTACGCATCCAAAATCAAGTTGGTCCTCACCCCCTTAAATGGGACAAGACTGGAATCATTACCGAAGTTCGCCAGTTTGATCAATATGTAGTTCGGGTTGACGGATCTGGCCGTGTTACCTTACGCAACAGGAAATTCCTAAGGAAGTATATCCCAGTCGTTACACCACCAGCGCGCTACACAATTGACAATCAAATTGGACTCTCCCATCGTACGACGTCTCCTACTTCTAACGCCCCAGACACCGTCGTCGGTGAAGAGAGCAACCCTCCCCGTAAGGATACGAGTCCTCCACCATCCACTCCGTTGACTACTAGAACCATACAACGTTCGCCTCGTTCATCATCTGATGTTGATCACCCTTCACCACCATTTGGTATTCGAGACATCTTCAGTCGACGTCATCTAGCGTTTGATTCTCCTGCAACCCCAGTGAGCAAAATCACCACACCCCCGGCAACGATGCCACCTATCTCGACACATACGCCACAAGCAGTAGTTCCGTCCCCTGCACCGATCCGGACTTCTGGTCGTGCCACAAAGAAACCAGCTTGGCATTCAGATTATAAAATGTCCAAATAACAATTGACTTGTTTCTACTTGGAACATTTCCTAAGTGTTATATCTGTTGTGCAACTTTTCACGGAGACTCAGTGCTTCATTTTGTTTATTTTAGGACAATTAGTCGGACATTTCTTCATAATTCTCATATTTCACATCAGTCTTTGTTCCTAGGACTAATACGAGTGACCCTATTACTTACGTGTACCAAAGACTTGGGGGAGATAGAGGATTGTATGTTATGATTAGTTTCTATACGTAATTCATGCTAATTATCATTGTGCAATTTACCACTACTTTGTGCGTCTTTTCAGACCGTGTTCATTGCTGAATAAACATATTTAAAGTAAACGGAACAGAGTCCCATTTAGAGTCGAGGTCACATCAAGGGGTCAAAGCTTCACGTTACCACCATGCATTTCTGTACTGTAACTACCGCAATAAAAAGTGGTAGAAAATCTTAACCTTCCATTTATATCAGTAGGTAGCTAGTGGGTAAATATCATGACCCTGTGTATTCAGTTTTTTAAAAAGCTTTTCAAAGATAAAGAAGACAATAGAAGCCACACCATACAATAAATCAAGCCCACAGGCAGTTAGCCTCATGGAGGTAAGACAAAAAACAACAAAAATGGTATCACTTAAGAATAATTATTATTTTAATAATTATGTTATTCTTGCTTGAAGGAGTTTCCCTCACGTTTTCACATCCTTTATACAGAGATTCCATAACAGAATATACAAACTTAACAACTATACACTCACTATATACAGGGGACACAACTCATTGTTCACTATTACTACAGGGAACACAACTCATTGTTCACTATTACTACAGGGGACGTAACTCCTGCTTCACTAGAGCGGACACCATTTACAGGACACTAAAATTACCAACACTTGATTCTGTCAATTCAAAATTACGCCAAATTTGTTGGTTTCATTTACAATTTTGTTGACTGTAAGCATTCTATCTTCATCAGAATTTTACACCTGTCCATTCCAGTACAAATTGGACTCAATATGAATTTTAGAAAACTAAATATCTATCGTAAACAAGCATTCTGGGCTAAATTTCTCAAACTTTGTTTCACTAATTATTCTTAGTTTCACATGGTACGAAACAAAATACTTACTGTGACTGGGTTACTTTTTAATTTGTATTATTTTGTGTGGTTGGATGTTAAAAAGGTAATACAACCTTTCACTTTCGTTTTGTCAGAAAGATTGAATTATTCTTTTGACTTGGTATCTGTCTTCCTATTTGCCAGCCTACAAGTCTGACAGCATAATGAACCCCCCTTAAACTATTTTTTTACAATCATAGATGTGCTCTAATACAGTGAAAGGTATAACTTTACAAAAAATCAAAACATCAATGCTTTTACAAAAAATCAAAACATCAATGCTTTAGGGGAAGGGATATGCATGCCAACTAATAAATCTCCTCATTACCCCACATATTTTTATAAATGAAAATGGATTTTGTTAATTTTATTTAATCAATCTAGAAGTAATGAAGCCAAAATAAAATGTGTTAAACAGGTGAAATTTTCCAGTCAAACTTTTAAATTACACAATTTGTATGGAGAAAAGGGGAGATTCAGAGTACTTATAAAATGACATGTATTTTGTAATCAACAGCAGAGAGTATTGCCTGTATCTGGTTATACCATATATGGCATATTTGAACAATGGACTGTAGGCAAAGAGGAAAGAATTTAAAAATAAGCTTTGGTGTCTACATTATACACACACAAAAAACACCTAGAATATACTACATTTGTCAAGACGCCTTTCTACAAAATGTGTAAATAATGCTGTTATATTTTCCAACAGTGCTTATTTTGAAAATGTGACCCCCATTTTACTAATGTGTTATTGACTTTGAACTAGTAGTCAGATAAATTTAGCAACAATAGTGTTCACCGTTGTTATAAATGTGACAAGTGAATTGTAAATTATCGCCTGAGCTAACTTAAAATTAAGTCCAATCCTTTTTTTATCCAGGAAAAAGAAAATTGAAATAGATGCACAAAATAATAAAAAAAAAAAAAAAAAAGGGTCATCTTTCTGAACATGTATTTTTGTCATAAAGTCTGTGACGTTGTTGAAGTAAGACTGTAACTCTATATAAACATACAATACTACTGATGTGTGTATTGTTCAAATTTCAATATTTAAATACATATTTGTAACAACAATTAAGTACAGCACAAACTAAATATTTAATATGTCTAGACATCAAATTTGACTTTTTTTTTTTTTATTTTTGACCAGAATTGCTATCCAAGAGAGATTACCTATACCCATTTTAGATTCTGTCATTGGGATGCTGGAATCGGGTCTATATAGTTTCACAACATACCCTAACAATCTTGTTCTATCAACACTAAACCATCCAATTTATGAACAATCCCATTTTAAAATCGTTTCAATTTAGTAGTTAGTTTTTTCAATGATCAACTCCAGAATAATATTGTACATGACTGTTTGAACCAAAAATTACAAGGAACCCAACATATCAGGGTACAAAGAACATACACTCAATAGTCTAGATGTGATTGTCTACTCAGTACAAGAACACATTTACAATATAAAAATATCACTTTGCATAAATATGGTAAAGAAAGCACTATACCGTAGATGCATTTGTATTCCATGTACGTAATATATAATATTAGTACATCAATAATTTGAAGGATCATGATTGGATACGGCCATGTACCTTTGAAGCAGTTCTCAGAAGACAATGTTGTTCCCATACTAAATGTTCCTCCCCAGACCTATTAGAGAACTCTTCCTTCCGTAAAATGTCATACAGCTGTAGTACATTTCTAAATATATAGTATTATATATGTAAATAGTGTTTTAAGGATTTTAATGGCCCCCTCCAAGCCAGATGTATCTTAAAAATTAATAAATGTATCACAATTTGTATCAAATCGCAATTTATTTTTTGAACCATTAGTTCAATCAGCCCATCAAAATATTGATCTGATACACCAATGAGTTTTTTTTATTCTCAAGAATATTTTACTTTTTCCCGCCTGTGTAAACTGTAAATGAATTCACACAATGTAAACATACATACTATAGCAGTGATCTTAATCAGGCACTTTTTTGCCATTAATTACTTTGCTCAATTTCGATGATGCTATGCAGGGTTTTGTATATTTTGAGCGCTCCGATCCATCAAGGAGCTAATCCGTTAAAATTTGAAACTGTGGTAGAATAACCAGGTTTACAATAGTATATGTACAATGTATTTCATTTTCAATAATATCAACAAAAAAACTTGAAGATTAATTGATAGGCATGAAGGATTTTGTTTTGTTTTTGCAGAATGACTGCTTGTACATGTACCCTGTAAAGCTTGGCCAAGGCAGGCCTTCGAGGTCTTTGCCAGTTTTCCAAAAAATCAAATTTTGGCCAACTCTTGTCTCCTAACTGGTCCAAGCATTTGAAATGCGATAATTTAATGTGTTCATTATAGATTATTCAATTAATAAGAATACATTATGTCAAGAGAAAACACAAAAAATATCATCTAAACTTGTATGTTTCCAATAATTTCGTTTTCAGTAGGCAGATTTAAAAAAGAAATTGATTTTGTGTGTATTGTAGAACTTATTGCCGATGGGTAGTTTCAAATATTATCAGACGTGGCCTTGAACATCAAGTAATAAACTATTAAAGCATTCAGGTGAAGGCAGCTAGAAATTAGGTGCGATTAAAATGGCCAGGAATTTTCGGTGAAGGAGTTATTTTTACTTTGTCAAAGTTTCATAACAACTAATGATACATTTACTTTAGGCACCATTCACTTTCTGAAAGTGAACACAAAAGTCTTAATAATCTATGTCCTAGATGTGAACTTGTTTTACAATACACAAAATATTAGAAAAAACAAAAAATGAAACCTTGTTTATATTAAACTCATTATGTACCTGATAACTAGAAAAAATTCTGCTTTTTCACTGAATATCTGTAATACTTCCCTTTACATCTGAAAAATGTCAATTTCATATGCGAATACCTCTTCAGTTTTGGAGAAAAATACTCCCACTAAGTGTTCTTTGCCTGACTGTATTAGCTACAACACTGATTATGCTGTGTGCATTCATGGGCTGCAAAGGTTACAGGAACATCAGAAAATGTATACCATGATTAGTAATAACTTTCTAATAATTGCCTTCAGCATATAATAGGACAAATTTTAAATAATATATTCCATGATTGACAGAAAGACGTGAATCTAAAACTGAACTAATAATGATGAGAAGGTGAACACTGAACAGACTACACACAATCATCTGTGTCATGACTTGGCGTCAGAGTTGGGCACTTCAGTTGAGCTAGTAGATAAGGCAGTAGCTGCCAATATGCGTGGACTGGAGTCCCCGACGTGTGTCATAGAAACAGCCCCCCGACCTGCCGCCTGAACCATGTTTAATTTGTTAACAGTCTGCAACATTCCCACACCCTGGGCAGGAATACCCTGTCCTCCAGCCAGTTTCAGCCCAGGAGGAGGGGCTATTATACGGGCATACACAGCACCCGTTTGACCCTTGCCCTTCTGTGAACCCTTGCCCTGAGCCTTGGCTGGGTTGGGTATGATCTGTCCGGAGGGCAGCACGGTGGCCTGGGTGGCCTGACCATCAGGGATCTGGGGCTGTGAGATGAGGATGGTCGCCTGGCCAGGCTTGAGTCCGCCCTGCTGGCCCAGCACTGTCCGCACCACCTGGATGTTCTGACCTTGCTTCGGACTTGCCCCACTCATGATCTGGAGTGGCTTCCCACCGGAAAAACCTGCCAAGAAAATATTTTGATTTCAATAATGCAGTCGACCACTTACAATGAAATATCATTTTACTTGATTCAGATTATGATTTTTCTAAATCAAAAAACTTTCGTTTTCATCAGTCCATTTTTACACAACTGATCAGTATCCTGTAACCTCTCAGTGAACCCTAAACCACACCATGGTAAAGTACACCCAATGTTATCCCTACATCCACTTCCTAGTTCAAAAATACTGAACAACATCCATGATAGTTTGAAAATATGATTGAATCACTAGGTTAGTCTGAAGCCCCCTATTGATCTCAGTTAGGGCTGAAGAAGCTTTAAGGCAACCAGGAGGTCGCCGAAGGCTACCCGTGAGTAGCATTTATTGAGTGACATAGTTAAACCTGGTTAAATTTGAAAATATAGTTTTCATATGTTCATTTCAATTTAGTCTTGATAAGCTTTTTCAAATAACCTATTTTGTCACATCTGCATGACAACATGACAAGATTTGCCAGTAATGAATATCTAGTTCCTTACTCTGTGTGATTGTTGCATTGTTACTGGTCAGTCCTCCGGACGACTGCTGGACTATAAACTGAGGTAAGAGGCCAGCTTGACCTGCAGTGACCACCTTGGCCTGTGAGGATGCCGGCATGGCCCCAGGACGCAGAGTGATGCTGCCATGGGGAAGTTGAGTAACCACAATCCCGCCCTGCCCTGGAGTGACCACTTTAGGCTGACTGACCATCTGGACCATGGCCTGAGAGCCAACAGGTGTGGCTGTGTTGACCACTGAGGGGTTGGTAAGGCGTGAGTTTGTGGTGACCGTGTGTGTCGCAGGGCTTCCCATTGATGACTCTGAGGTAGCTTTCAACGTAAAACAAATCAGTCATGAGAATGAAATATATACTTATATTACTAATTAACAAATTTTTCCATCTATCCATTTCGCTACCAAACCACCCAGCCACCAAACCACCAATAAAGGAAATCATGAGAACTAACACTCTGTATCTGTATCTGAATCTAAGTCAAATCATCAAAATGCTGAAACTTTGAACAAAAGAGGGAACTGCTCCTCAACTGACACCTGTACAATCGTACCTGTGGATTTCTGGGGCTGTATAAGTGTCACCAACTCTTCAACATTTCTATACAATCCTTGCAATCTGACACCTGTACAACCCTATCTATGAGTGTCTGGAGCCAGACAGGTGGCACCCACCTCCTCTACTCAAACCCTAGCCAGGTGACACCTGTATAACTCTACCTGTGGTATGGGGCTGGGCAAGGGTCATCCCCCCTCAAATATATCATAAAAAGTTAGCCAGGTGACACCTGTATAACTCTACCTGTGGTACGGGGCTGGGCAAGGGTAATCCCCCCTCTTCAACTATATTATAAAAGGTTAGCCATGTAACACCTGTATAACCATACCTGTGGGTGTCCGGGGGTCTTCCCCCCTCCTCAAATATATTATGAAAAGTTAGCCATGTAATACCTGTGGGTGTCCGGGGATCATCCCCCCTCCTCAAATATATTATAAAAGGTTAGCCATGTAACACCTGTATAACCATACCTGTGGGTGTCCGGGAATCATCCCCCCTCAAATATATTATAAAAGGTTAGCCATGTAACACCTGTATAACCATACCTGTGGGTGTCCGGGGGTCATCCCCCCTCCTCAAATATATTATAAAAGGTTAGCCATGTAACACCTGTATAACCATACCTGTGGGTGTCCGGGGGTCATCCCCCCTCCTCAAATATATTATAAAAGGTTAGCCATGTAACACCTGTATAACCATACCTGTGGGTGTCCGGGGGTCATCCCCCCTCCTCAAATATATTATAAAAGGTTAGCCATGTAACACCTGTATAACCATACCTGTGGGTGTCCGGGGGTCATCCCCCCTCCTCAAATATATTATAAAAGGTTAGCCATGTAACACCTGTATAACCATACCTGTGGGTGTCCGGGGGTCATCCCCCCTCCTCAAATATATTATAAAAGGTTAGCCATGTAACACCTGTATAACCATACCTGTGGGTGTCCGGGGGTCATCCCCCCTCCTCAAATATATTATAAAAGGTTAGCCATGTAACACCTGTATAACCATACCTGTGGGTGTCCGGGGGTCATCCCCCCTCCTCAAATATATTATAAAAGGTTAGCCATGTAACACCTGTATAACCATACCTGTGGGTGTCCGGGGGTCATCCCCCCTCCTCAAATATATTATAAAAGGTTAGCCATGTAACACCTGTATAACCATACCTGTGGGTGTCCGGGGGTCATCCCCCCTCCTCAAATATATTATAAAAGGTTAGCCATGTAACACCTGTATAACCATACCTGTGGGTGTCCGGGGGTCATCCCCCCTCCTCAAATATATTATAAAAGGTTAGCCATGTAACACCTGTATAACCATACCTGTGGGTGTCCGGGGGTCATCCCCCCTCCTCAAATATATTATAAAAGGTTAGCCATGTAACACCTGTATAACCATACCTGTGGGTGTCCGGGGGTCATCCCCCCTCCTCAAATATATTATAAAAGGTTAGCCATGTAACACCTGTATAACCATACCTGTGGGTGTCCGGGGGTCATCCCCCCTCCTCAAATATATTATAAAAGGTTAGCCATGTAACACCTGTATAACCATACCTGTGGGTGTCCGGGGGTCATCCCCCCTCCTCAAATATATTATAAAAGGTTAGCCATGTAACACCTGTATAACCATACCTGTGGGTGTCCGGGGGTCATCCCCCCTCCTCAAATATATTATAAAAGGTTAGCCATGTAACACCTGTATAACCATACCTGTGGGTGTCCGGGGGTCATCCCCCCTCCTCAAATATATTATAAAAGGTTAGCCATGTAACACCTGTATAACCATACCTGTGGGTGTCCGGGGGTCATCCCCCCTCCTCAAATATATTATAAAAGGTTAGCCATGTAACACCTGTATAACCATACCTGTGGGTGTCCGGGGGTCATCCCCCCTCCTCAAATATATTATAAAAGGTTAGCCATGTAACACCTGTATAACCATACCTGTGGGTGTCCGGGGGTCATCCCCCCTCCTCAAATATATTATAAAAGGTTAGCCATGTAACACCTGTATAACCATACCTGTGGGTGTCCGGGGGTCATCCCCCCTCCTCAAATATATTATAAAAGGTTAGCCATGTAACACCTGTATAACCATACCTGTGGGTGTCCGGGGGTCATCCCCCCTCCTCAAATATATTATAAAAGGTTAGCCATGTAACACCTGTATAACCATACCTGTGGGTGTCCGGGGGTCATCCCCCCTCCTCAAATATATTATAAAAGGTTAGCCATGTAACACCTGTATAACCATACCTGTGGGTGTCCGGGGGTCATCCCCCCTCCTCAAATATATTATAAAAGGTTAGCCATGTAACACCTGTATAACCATACCTGTGGGTGTCCGGGAATCATCCCCCCTCCTCAAATATATTATAAAAGGTTAGCCATGTTACACCTGTATAACCATACCTGTGGGTGTCCAGGAATCATCCCCCCTCCTCAAATATATTATGAAAAGTTAGCCATGTAACACCTGTATAACCATACCTGTGGGTGTCCGGGGCTGGGCGAGGGTCATCACCCCTCCTCCACTGCCCTGTGATATTATGCTGATGGTTGGAAGTGCCCCCTGCTGGGTCTGTAACAGACCCTGGATCTGCTGTTGACCTTTGCCTCCTATCTGCACCAGCTGACCTCGGGGTTTTCCTGTAAACTGGACAGGTTTTCCTCCTGCTACCTGGTGTACCATGTTGCTGCCTAGAAATCAAATCCACCTTTTATATTCAGACAAATGCACAATTTTGGCAAACTATTGCTGTACACAACACAACTTCATGCAATATTACTTTTGCATTGATGTGGGGAAAATGTGAATTTGCAAACTGTTGAATTTGCCCTCTGGAGTTTATTAAGAATGTTAGCGTTTGTGTTTCATTTGTTAACTCATCGTACCTTAACCAAAAACCATGAAAAGGAAACTGCTGTGAAAATTGCTCTGTATACAGTTTTCTATTGTTGTAAGACATATATCCAACTTTCATATTTCTCAAGAATGAATGACTTTCCTAATTAAGTCCCCCTTTGTGGATAAAAGATGCCAATGGGACGTCGCTGAGTGCACCTACCTTGTATTTTAATGGTAGTACTCCGAGGAGATTGGGCTTGAGCCCTCTGTGCCGCTAACAAGTTACTGACAGAAACCATCTGGTTTCCGGCTACGAGGCGTGCCACTAGAGGTGCCCCAACACCAGTGGATGGCACTGTTGATGTGACATTGCTTGCATCGATCATAGTCTGGAGTCCAGAGGCAGTCGTGGCTACTGTTGAGGTCTTTTTGGTGACCAAGGTTGGGGTTTGGGAATGGGTAGGGGTGTGGGCTGGAGAGTGACTAGGAGTCCCACCCCGTGACCCGTGCAAGAGGAGCTCTGGGCAGATCTGTTGTCCCAAATTCTGGGCCAAGGCAGAGCTGCCCTGGGGGTTTGAGCCCATCAATGCTCGAACATTGTGCAGATTTAGCGTCTTTGAGACTCCAGTCGGTGTATCAGGCTGCGACTGTTGTAAGGCTGTAGAAACACTAACAGATGGCGACCTGTGGCTTCCTGGCGACAAACCTTCAGTGCAACAAAAACAAAATCTTAAGACAAACAATCACCAAATTCACTACTAAACTTCTCATTGAAATGAAGTTAAAAGTCATATAACATTTGTGTGCAAATATGGTTCATCATCTACATTTGAGGGTCCGGACCCTCTTAATCAATATGTATCTTGTTTAATAGAATACATATATTTAACCAAGTCTGATATGAGGATACAAAACTATTCACAAATTATAATTTACCTGTAATTTCATATTCTTTCAAATATTGAGTAACGGTTCAACTTTTGCTACATTTGCAGTATGAAAAAATGTGCAAATCATAAACCCTGTCAATTTAAAATATTGCATTTTTAGATAGAGAGTAAGTTCAGTCAATTGACTATTAAAAACGTTACCCTTCTGACAAGGACTTAGCTTAGATTATTATCTATTGACTCAAGACACCATAGAACTATTAATGGTGTTGTGTAAAATCTAAACATCACAATATTAGTTCCAGGAACACCATTTCAAAATAAAAGCACCATACTGTAGACAACATGATTGTTATGAGGAGCCAATAAAGGGTACCTTTAGTAGGTGTCCCAGGAAGGCTGCCTGCCTGCTGTAACTGCTGCTGTTGTTGCTGCTGTTGCTGCTGTAACTGCTGTATCTGGAACCTGATTGTGGCACCGGTCATGGCTGGCAGGCCACTCCCACTAGACAGGAGGTTGGCTGTAGTCCCAGACTTGTTCATGGCGGTGACCAGGGAGGAGGTCGCCCGAGGACTCCCTACGGCTCGGGGACTCACCTGTCCCACCACGGGGCTGCTTGGAGTACCCTTTGGTGTAGGACTGCCTGTAACCACAGGGCTGGAGGGTGTTTGACTGCTGTCTAGAGCATTTAAACTTTCTGTACTGGCACTGAGGGACTGAGTGAGGCGTGGACTACTGGCTGAGGTCAGGCTGGGGGTTGATGGAGTCTGGCTGGTCAACTCCTTCACTTTTTGCTGTATAAATCAATGGAACTCAAAAGTACTTTTTATAAATAGTTCAGCTTATAGCATGATTATCTTACATATAATCATATCATTGATTAACATAATGTATATAAGGTTCATATTTCAAAATATTATGCAGGAACATATTAATAAACTATGGCATGCTTAAGTGAGTTATACATTAACTTTGAGATATCACCCACATCTGAAGCATCATGTTCATAGAACATCTGCTTTAATTCAGTGTAGGAAATTGATATGCTCATCCAGATTACAGAAATGATTATTCAAGGTTTTAAAGATAAATCCTGGCAAGGTTTTACAAAGGAGTACATGTGATGTTGCTCAACTATACATCATCACTATAGGTAATGTACATCTGGAGCACACACATATTTTCAAATCCTGTGGATTAGGTGTACAAACAACATGCATTTGAAAAAAATGTTCATTATATAACATTTACTTCTACTTACTTACTTCGAGGTTCTAATATACCGCTTTATCACAACCTAGTTCATAGGTCGTCTCAAAGTGGTTCACAAATTATTATCCATGCTTCTAGCGCCTTTGCAACCAGCCAATATCTTTCTCAACTCCCTGGGGAGCATACAGCCGGTGCTGCCGTTTCGGCGCCTAAAGCTAGTATTCTACAATTCTAGCACTGCCCAACCACATACTCATTTACAGCTGAGAAGACTTGAACAAGCGGAGTAAAGTATCTTGCTCAAAGATAAAACACAGTGCCGTGACAAGACTCGAACATGCATTTTTAAAGAACATTCATTATATTTAACATTTACTTCTATTCTCTATGAAGACATAAACCTGTCAATGAAAAGATCAAATAGGCTGGAACCTACTGTTTTCTGAGCTTTGGGCTTCTGGAGTGATTTCCTGGCTTTTTGGGCCGCAGCATGTGCTTGGTGAATCCGTTCTAAGTCAGAAATAAAAGCAAAGATTAACTTATGGAAATTCAATGCATCAAGTTAAAATGAAAACTGAAGATCACATTAAACTGATAATTATCCACTTAACCCTTCCACCACTGTAGACCATAATGGACTCATCCATATCAATACATGGTAGGGTCTAGTAAAGTTACATAGGGGTGAAATGTTTAAATGTAAGTATCAATTTTCTTTGTTACACTCCACAGAGACCGAAAAGGCACAACTAGCCAATGTCAACTGAAAAAACGGAATCTCATGACATAGTCAAGAGAAGCCCTACGAGTTATCCCACTTGAGATCTTTATCTCCTGATATTACAAAACCTAGGATTGAACTGTTCAGCCTTTAGGAAATAAGTTTTATAAAACCTTTAATGCTACCAGTATCAAGACTAAGGCCCCTTTCACATATCCGAGTTGAAACGGTTAAACCTGTAAAGAAAACGGCAGGCACAGATCTGAACCGAGGCTGACCTCAGGAATATTCGGCACGGGTAGATTTAGGGGTCCAGGCGTATCTGACCAAAACTAAATTGCTGACTATTGGTAGTTTGCGCTGTGTTATTTTCTCGGAAACTGTGCATTTTGAGCTCTGCTTATAGAACGGTCAAAGTGCGTTTGTTTAATGTGGAATATTTCTGCGCCACCTGTGTACCGTTTCACCTGGGATACAGGAATGTAACCAAAAATAACTGCAGTGATCTAACTATGGAGTTTGTAGTCGGTACTGTGTAGGACTTACCAAACTCATCCTCTGCACGGCTCCGGTGGAGGTAGATCCAGAGCTTCCTGTTGACGTCGTACTTGACACAGGGGTCCTTCTCCGAGTGGAGTCTGTCCAGAGCCCCACTCACCACCACATTGATCTGGACAGATAACAATGTAACATAAGCATTCTGCATCTCCTACGTCATTTTTACATACATGTTCATAATATGAATCTTTGTTGGAATTATGTACGACATGTTCTATGCTGGCAACCATATCGCCCTGTTGTGAAGACTCCAAAATGTAAAAATGTGAGAAGAATTGGCATAAACATTTAACCTTCACAAAAATAAAGTCTTAAACCGATTTGTAAAATTTCCATCTACATGCACATTCTAAACTTTCAATTTTGGGAAATATTCCGAAAACCAGCGTCATGTGTTTTTCTAACGAACAAAACACATATATAGAAATGATTCATATAAAAAAGACCTTATAAAAAATGTTATGTTAATGATATCATTTGTCAAACAGAATTTTGGCGTTATAAAAGGATACAGCTATATGTACAACAAAGAAATCGTGAAGAAGGAAAAGGAAAGGGGATCTTGAAATATCCTGGCAATAAATGAGGTTTCATATGGAAACTAAGGAAATTATATTGAAGTTCTACTTTATACAAATTTCTTTGAGTCTCTAAAATTCTAGTTTCAAATTTCAATTTTGTCAAACTTTTGAACTACCTAATAAAACAAAACAAAACCAATTGGTATATTATGTCTGTTACATGATAAATGCATACCTGAGCATCTGATACACCAGGCGCTAAGAACTGAGAATCTTTCAGCAGCTCACAAATGTCACCACGCGTTCCTTCTCCATTTGGTAATCGGGCAGCAGCATCTCGAACTGTAAATATCATTGTAATTTTTTATTTAATAAGATATATCAAGACAATAATTTACTCTACATTATATGCAAACTATCATTATTTTGGAAATTTATCGTCATGGAAGGAGACGAAGACATTTTTTTTTTTAAATTTCACAATGCATGCACTCTGTTAAAACCAGATGTGTATTCCGCTCCAATACTCTACCATACATGTGATATCTCCAGATATGACCTGGTTTGGTTTATTTTGTTTTGTTTAACGTCCTATTAATGTCCGGATTGCGAACCAGATTTCCTTACTAGACTCGCCCCCCGCATATATAACAAAAAATTGTGTGCACACGACAACTGTACAGAAAGAGTTAAGAATGTGCCTCCATGTGCGGTGTGCAGTCTGCGACGTTAGGCACTAGTCCGATGCCCACGACTAGTAAATTTAAGTCTGGACTAGTATTGAAAATATTTAACTAGTCCGACTGGACTAGTGGCAATTTTCCTCCAAAATAATGGAAATATTATTAACGGTATATATTTTGTACTATAAAAACTTGTCACAAGATTTAATCCTATCGTAAAATATGGTATTCGTCGAAGCTTCAAAGTTTCGATGAGCGATTGCGAGACTGGGTTCCGGATTTTAGTAGTCACCAAACATTACTTCCGGTTTATAACCACGTGAAACCAAGCATGGCCATATGTTGCTAAGTTGGAGGAAAGGTCCAAAACCAGCTAAGCCTGTTCGTGAACAGACAGAAAAAATTGCTCCAACACGAAAGAAAAATTTACGGTTCTGGCTATTGCTTAAAGGCTTGATGGAAACAACAGTAATACTGTATTAGAGATAATTGGTGATCACGTTCCGTAAGACATTTTGTTTCGATTTCTAATAATTTTCCAATTTAGATCACAATTTACACTTCATGCTGTAAAAAAGACCAGTCTGTAATTTGGACTAGAAAATTCACAGTTGGACTATTAAAATTATGGGTTCACTAGTCCAAATGACTAGTAAGGAAAATAGTTAACGTCACAGACTGGGTGTGTATGCATGCATGCATGCGTGTATGTGTGCCGGAGACAGGGTATGTTGGTGTATTTGCCTCCTCGTGATAGCCTGGATCTGATGCCGACTTTATAGTGCCATCTCACTGAAATACCATGCCGAAGGCACCCAGTACAGCATTCCGCCCGGTCACATTATACTGACAATGGGTGAACCAGTTGTTGATGAATGTTAAGCAGGTTATAGCAACTACTTCGCTTAAGATATGACCTGGGCCTGTATTCATGAAAATATTCACATGCTCAACCTTAGATTTTTTGCTTGAGCCTAATTTCTAGATCCCCTGGTAATTCTATAATACTTACATGATGTACTTCATATTTTGACAAAAATTTGGAAGAATTCAGGAGATATTTCAGGGTTTACACCTGACGTTTTTACCACGTCAGTTGATTTATGAATACAGGCCCTGGGCATCAAGACAGCCATCCCTTGTTTCTCCCTTTCTGGCATGGATCTGACTATCATAATAAATTTCTATTGCCCTTTCGTCAAACCAAACTTTTAAGAAAAATAATAATGCTGCAGGGCGAAACCTGTCTTCACTGAGCCACCGACGCGAGCAACTGAACAGGCTAATAAGATTAACAAGCTAACCTGACCAGTAGTGACCGCTCGTGCTGTTACAGTACGTTACCCTAAAAATAAGGTAAAAATTGAGATGGTTATGATAGAAATAACATTATGCTGTGATGCCGCAATAAAACTCCCAACTTAAAATCAAATCTCCCAACTTCAAAACTCAAAATGCCTGTTAGAGATTAACAATGCATGCTCCCTCACTGTTATACATACCCTGAGTGAGGATGGTGACAAAGGAAGGCCTGTTAGAGATTAACACTGCATGCTCCCTCACTGTTATACATACCCAGAGTGAGGATGGTGACAAAGGAAGGCCTGTTAGAGATTGACAATGAATGCTCCCTCACTGTTATACATACCCAGAGTGAGGATGGTGACAAAGGAAGGCCTGTTAGAGATTAACAATGCATGCTCCCTGGCTTTGTTCATGGCGTTCTCCTTGCTGTAGACCCCCTTCACAGGTCCTACCACAGACTCGTAGCCATGCATTTTATATGTAAAGGCTTTGTGAGGGTTCTCAAATCGTCTCTTTTCCTGAAATTCAAAACCAAGCAAACTGTTAAAATTGTGTTTGAAATCTAAGAATCATACTCAGAAAGCCAACAGTATCACTATAACAAATAACCAACAAGGCAGACAATCCATAGTCCCTCACCGGTAATAATTTCTATATTTCAGTACACCTATGTCTTGCACTCTGCACTATGCTATCCAAAGATTTCTTTGTGCACCAAATCTGGTTACTCCAGGTGAAATAGTACAGAATATATGCCCTGGACAAACTTTTTCAAAAGTTAAGGTCAATGGTCAAGTGATAGGTCACAGTGACTTAATTCTTGCACTCTGCACTCCGCTATCCCAATATGTCCCTTTACACCAAATCCTGTTCAATGAAATCCATCTTGTTTGACAGGCAATTATGCTTCTTCTTCAATGCAAGTGAACCCATGCCCCAAGCAAGAAGTTCCAGCAACTAGTAGTGTAGGAGATAGAGCCTGGACAAACTTTTTCTTTGATGTAGGTCAAAGGTCAAAATGTAGGTCAGAGTGACCTACTTTTGATACATGACACACCGCCTCACCAAGGTGAACCCATACACCAAGGTGAACCCATACACCAAGTATGAAGTTTCAGTGACTAGTAGTGTAGGAGATAGAGCCTGGACAAACTTTTTCTATGATGTAGGTCAAAGGTCAAAATGTAGGTCCGAGTGACCTACCTATGATACACGACACACCGCCTCACCAAGCTGAACCCATACCTCAAGTATGAAGTTCCAGTGACAAGTAGTGTAGGAGATAAGAGCCCAGACAAGATAGGGGAAGGACTGACAGACATGACCCGGTTCCCCCTGGGAGACTAATAACCCTTTCACCACTGTAGATCATAATGGACTCATCCATATCAATGCATGGTGAATCTACTAAAGTTACATAGGGGTGAACGGGTTAATGAAATAAGAGGACTATTCTATCTATCTATTTATCTATCTATCTATCTATATGTTATACTCCACAGAGACCAAAATGGCTATAATAAGGAATCATCTTCATTGCCTCATTTGCATTTGTAACTTTTCATGTACAATCAAATCTGCCTTAACAGCCTTCTGGAACTAATAGTCACATTCTGTAAGTAGTCAGTTGCATGTCTGCAAGATGAAAATAACAAACACGGTAAGTAATAGCACTAGAATAAAAGGCCACCTGATACAGCCAATGGCCACAAAAATACATTCGTTATTGTAACATTTAACTAGTTCAAGTGGCTAGAAACCTGCTTATGCTGACAAATGATTGATGTGTAAACATGCTTTCACTGACACCATTGTAGACTAAGTATCCCCTCTGGCTGGTCTACTGTAACTTGGTTATTATGTTGGGGGCAGAACATTTAGACAAGGTTATATTGATCTTCACATATATCACCATCTTTGTAATGCTGGTTATTCAGAAGAAGTGTTTAAATATTTAAACACAGTTGACCTCTGTACCCTTGAATAAGGACTTGATAGACTTTCACCTGTGCATACTACTGGCTAAATATAAGATGCACTATGACTAAACAGACACTTTGATCTCAGTTTTTCTTTTACAAATGAATCTAAACCTGAATTAAGAGGCCCCCTTTCCTATGCAGCCAGTCTGTCATGACTGGCTGCTTAATACAGGTTTAGATTCGCTAAAGGCATCTGTTTCACATAAAGAAGGTGCTTAATGCATTATTATGGCATTTTGTACAAGCTCATTGCTGCTGCAAAATATAATGACATTGTTTTTGAGAAGACAGATGTAAGATGAAGCACTATAATTACCTGTTCTCTAAACGTGTTCTTTTCCTCCTCTGATGTGGCTCGCACCACGAACGAAGTCCAACTGAAACGTACAGCAGTAATTAATGAACGTGACACACACCAAACACATAAATATATAGAATATGCTTGTCTCTCATTTCCCTGTGTGTAAGATAGAGCTGTCCAGGGTAGGAAAGGGGTGTAGGAAATTTCTATCTTACACCCCATTTCATGTGACGCGAAGTCAAAATGGCTCGACAATGACGTGACGTCACAAATTTGGAACTCTCCGATGCCGCAATGTGGAAAAGGCGACGTGATGAAATTAAAACCTTTTACTATATAATTACCGTACACATTAGAAAGATGTGATTAATTTTTCTGCGCAAACATTGTTTGCAAATATGGGATATGCTTAATCTTGGATTCGTTTTCGTCTAAAACGCTCAGGGAAAAATTGATATTTTCAAAATGGTGGCCAGTCCAAACGCATTTCTATGGTTTCTGGGCTTATTCTGGTGGTTGGATTGAGAGAAAAATACTCTTTCATGCCCAAGGGCGTAGGATAGGGACATTCCACCCTCGGGATTTTCAAATGTGGCAAAAACCCTGGCTTCCTATAATTGTATTGCAGACTGCAAGATAATTATCTCTGTTAACTTAAGATCAAAATTTCCTACAGTAGTTGCAAATATATATATCATATTTTTCTTCAGGAGTTTAAAATTGTCTCAAACAATAGCGATATTCCCTCAAAACTGAACATTATGTTTATCTTAATTAACTGTCTTTTTAATGTGACAAATAACTATGTCTAGACAAAAACTATTTTCCCCTTTAGAAGTCAATGCAATGTAATTGACCTGACAAATATTATAAGCCTATACACGATCAAAATATACTTAAAATATAATGTAAATGACATTAATCAATATATTTTGGCTATTTTGATTTACAGAATGTATATATGACTTGAACCTTCTTCATAAAAAGTTTTAAGACATATTGTAATGGACTAAAATAAAATAAATTGTGTACTTAGACGTTTAGAAATAAACAATCACCATTATCCTTATCGACTGAAGGGGGCAAAATTACAAAGCAAAGGCTAAGTGCAATAAGTATTTTAAAGAAATTATCTGTTGACCTTTGACCCTTATCACTCGGGTCCTCAATAGATTTGCGGAGGCAATGATGACCTCTGACCCCTACCACTGTGGTACCGTACATCTTTGTGGAAGCAATGGTGACCTATGACCCTTGCCCTACCATTGAGATACCATACATCTTTGTGAAGGCTATGGTGACTTATGACCCTTGACCTTAACACTGAGCTACCATAAACCCTTCTGGAGGCAATGATGACCCTATGACCCCGACCCTACCATTGAGATACCATAGACCTTTATGGAGGTGACCTCTCACTTCTAACCCCGAGTACTGTAATGTTCTACATACCTTCGAGGAGGCGGAGGTGATCCTTGACCACTGTCGTTGAGTTCAGTTGATGAATCCTTCCGGTTTGACTTCCAGAGTTTGAAAAGTTCCAGGAGAGTTTCATCCGAGTCGCGACCAACTCCAATCCAACGCCACTGCTGGGCTCGCTCCTTGTAGTCCACGAAAGGGACAAAGTTGTCTGGTGTAGCGCCTGAAGTCATAAACACATGCATGGGTAATATAACAATCCGTATGACCACTTCAGCATATTGACCTCCAATTGACGAAAATATCCCATATAAAACAAAATACTGAGATTAACCAATATATGAAGATATTAGGGTTACATTCACGTATCCCGGTTGAAACGGTACGTGTGGTGCAGAAACATTCCACGATAAACGAACACACTTGGACCGTTTTGTAAGCAGAGCTAAAAATGCAGTTTTGGAGAATAAAAACCAATGTATCAAGAATATTATCCCCTTCTTTCATGCGTCCACTGAATTACATAATGTATTTTAACAAGAGGCCCATGGGCCTTAACGGTCACCTGAGTCTATAGTATTTATTTTTGTTGTTGAAATATGTACCAATTTGAGTAAAAAATAGTATAATGTTAACTTAACTTTGTCAGGACCATGAGCTGATCATTCCTAGACCAATTTTAAGTGAGATCGGCCTATTAGAACTTAGTAGCAAAATAGCGGCCATGGCAGCCAAATTGTATTTCTGATTGACCCGAAAAATAACAACACTTTGTCAGGACCATGATTCGATCATTCCTACAAAGTTTCAGTTCAATCGGCCAAGTAGATCTTTACTTTAAGTTTGAAATAGTTTACCAAAATGGCAGCCGTGGTGGCCATATTGGATTTCTGATCGACC